CTCCTCGTCTTCGTCCATAACGGCCATGGTGATTTCAAAATGAAAAGGCAAGCTAGATTCTTCATCGTCCCCTTCGTCAACAAATGGCAACTCATCGGGTACGCTCCTATTTCCTTCGATTTCTGCCTCTACACGCTCAGGGATAGATTCAATCGCCTCCAAACTTTTCTCCATCGTCTTACTCACATAAAACTATCCTAAAACGGCGATTTCGGCTCCAGGATTAAGAAACGTTTCGATATATTTGAGAGAATCAGCAAAACTGTAATACGATCATATATAAATCTTTGAAGCGTGTCCCCTTTCCTGTGCACGTGACATTTATTTCCTTTGTGCCTCGACATAAATGCCGCCCGCTGCGATTTTGCTTTGAAGTTTGCCGGCTCTCCTAACCATCTCAGTCTATTAACTGTGGTCTGAGAGGTTCAGTGAAGGTCAAGTTTATTATTCCAGCACGTGTTACTACAGGAGGAAACTTAAACTTATATTGAACAGCTCTATAAGTGTCGTCTCTTATTGATCCAATATTACTACAGGAAGAAACTTTATCTATACTGGATAGATCTATCAGTTAAACTGTCAGTCTTTAGAGGTCCGTTAAGAGCCATCTCGTATTGTCTATGTCCATAGACATCTTATACAGCTATTTCAATTAAGGTTGTCCACGAGCAAAGCGGAAAAGTCAAATACGAGCGCGAAAGGCTGCTGGGACCGCTTTGAAAATTCGTTAATTTGTTAGCGCTTCCCAGTAGCCTTTCGCGCTCGTATTCGACTTTTCCGCTTTGCTCGTGGACAACCTTAATTGAAATAGCTGTGTACACTAGATAGCGCATGTCTTTTAGTAAAATTGAAGCCAAGAATATTCCAGCGGTTACCCCCATTTGAATAGATGGCGGCCATGTTGGAGTTTCTCACTCGCTAATAAACGCTTAAAAAACAACAATAACTTTCATCATTTGAATAGTTTGAAAATGTATTTGGAATAGGTTTAACTTAATGTTTAAGTTCCCTGTTTAAGAAATAGAAAACATACGAGTCTTCTCATTTCATGGGAATATCCTGAGTCTGCAATCACGGCTTCAATTTTTGAATTGCAGAATAATTAGATGCACTATCTATAGTATATATAAGATATCTATGGTATTGACCCAGTGTTACTACAGGAGGAAATCTAAACTAAACCACTAAACGATTGATGCGTAGGGCACGAGCATGCCAAAAGTAATCCATAATATCACTGTGCCGTGTCCGTTGGTTTTATATGCGATAAAAAATATGTTAAATTACAGTATTTAGGTCTATTTACATAAACATTAGCTTTGATTTTTGCGGCTTGTCTCACCGTGTCATTATATTAACTATGGTTATACCACAAGCCAACCACACTGGAATTCTTCTTCCCAATTCCTAGCAAAAGATTTTCTCATGCTTTGCCCAACCCAGCGCGCACACACCCATTTTAGTTAAAACATCCCATCACGTCTGACCAACGGAAACTCTATGACTATGACCTCATCGTGAAGTGAGGTTACGTAAATAGTAATTTAATACGTACGGCTTAAAAATGACAAACTTCATAACTACATGTGCTTCCGGGCCCCCTCGAAAGGTTATACATAAACATATGTCAAGTATTCGCTCTCATTGACTTTGAACAAAGAGTTTAATTAATAAACTCTACAAAATCTCTTCGACTAGAGGAGGATTGCATTAAGTAGGGCAGTGCAGTAAATCTGTGTTTCTAACACTATAAAGTCAGTTTCCACAAACGTTTCTTACAAATCTGTCAAAACATTCTAGTTCATTCTCTTCACCAAGGCCCAAACCCTCGTCCGCGTACAAATTATTACATTATGCATTAAATTAAATTAAGGCAATGAATTCCGGTCAAATTCAAAAATATGCTGACGAAGTTACACACGTAAAAACGCACAAGTTGTTACAGGTCTGCAAACAAGTTGTTACAAATCTGTTCACAAGCTGTCGACAAGTTGTGTTCGCATTGCTTGGTCCCAGCTGTTGTAACAAGTTTGGAACAAGCTGTTAACAACTTGTAACAAGCTTGATAACATTATCAGATTTGTTACAAGGTTGTTATATATAACAAGTCTGATCATCATTCCTGATGATGATTGAAACCTCGGAAACGTCGATTAAAATGTTAACTATTTTCGGAGTAACTATTTTGTTTTGTTCTTTTTAAAAGTCTGATACAGTCATGATATAACAAGACTGTTACAAGGTTGACGACACAAGGTTGTAATAATTGTTATATCATGACTGAATCGGACTTGTTGGAACAACCTTGCAACAAGTCTGATAATATCAATAAGGTTGTTACAAGTTGTTAACAGCTTTTTCCAAACTTGTTGAAAACTTGGGACAAGCAGTGCGAACACAACCTGTTGACGGCTTGTTGGCAGACTAATTGCTACAAGATGTAAGATTTTTGCAAGTGTACAAACTATCCTTGTACATACACAGTATTATTTAACTAAGCAAACAAACAAACAAACAAACAAACAAACAAACAAACAAACAAACAAACAAACAAACAAACAAACAAACAAACAAACAAACAAACAAACAAACAAACAAACAAACAAAACAAAACAAAACAAAACAAAACAAAACAAAACAAAACAAACAAACAAACAAACAAACAAACAAACAAACAAACAAACAAACAAACAAACAAACAAACAAACAAACAAACAAACAAACAAACAAACAAACACGAGGCAGGTTGCAAATATAACCGCAATGTCGTCAGTGGACATTTTTGTCATGACCTCGAAAGTGACCTCAGCACACTTCATTGAAGCCTCCCACGCAAAATTAGCATATACACGTCACGCTGTTTCCATCGAAATATAAAGAAGCTTAGAAGCTCATGATCGCATGATTCCAAGCTATCTTTACAAGTCATGCAGTGTGCGTATTATCAACAATGACAATGTTGAAGCCAAGTTGGAAGTTTCTCTCCTTCGTCGTAGCCATTCTAGCCTGGCGCTGGTACACAAGACGGCCACCGACAAGCGAGTCATTTCGTGGTAAAAATGTCGTGATCTGCGGAGGTTCCACAGGTATAGGTGAACAGATAGCCTATAGATTTTGCGAACAAGGTGCAAATGTATTAGTGGTCGCCAGACGCGAATGGGCGCTCAAAAACGTCGTGGCAAACTGCACACGACTCGGTGCTTCGTCGGCTAATTACATGATCGCCGATTTACAGGGAGGCAGCAACGGATCCAGACAGCTTTTAAGAGTAAGTAGACTTAAGATATATTGACACAACTAGTTGATCCGTTTTATTGACATACGTACTTTATACTCGAGCACTTTGTTACAAATTACGACACTTCAAGTGGTATCAAAATAAAATTACTACGAGAAACCGTGGGGTTTTTTTTGGAACATACAACTCCGAACATTTTATTAATATGTATCCTAGCTTTGCCCCGGCAAAGGCCTTGAACTATAAATTTTAGGAATTTTTAGCCATCAGCAAAATGGTAAGTATTTTGAAAGCAGTAATTGTATGCCATGCATATAGAAATACAATGCTAATATCCAAACAGACCAAAGTCACCGTCGTTGCATGTCAAGTGTAACAACAAATAATGTCCGAGAATCCGCTGTTTGACTTTTGCAAAATGATATTTCTTGCAACAATATCCCCAATTAACCTAAGCTGTACTATTTTAACCTTACAGGGAAGTCATTATAAGCATTTTACGGGGGAAAAGTTTAAAATTCGAGCTATTCAATAGCTTGCGTGCGTGTAAATGTTAATGTGTGCATTTGTTTTGCTTAATGAATATTGCTATAATTGTATAAAGCACGAAATCATTCATTTAAGTGTAAAATAACTAGAATTTCAGTCGAGAGGCTAAAACAATCAAAAGTATATTTGTAGAAGTCTAACTCGCATTAGGTAATATAGCAGAAAAGCAAATAAATTGTCCCAATTTTGTAATATATGGCTCATCATTATATGACATTAAATAATAACGAAGTGATGCAGGCGGGAATTTTTTTTTTAATCTTAAGTCGCTAAGACTTAATTCTTAAAATCAACTATCCGGCGATAAAAGCTACTGACTTTTCGTGTGGAATATACTACAAATATTGAATAGCTTACATATATTATAGAGTATATTATGCGTGTAGCATTAATGAAAATTTGTCGCTGGGTGAATTACGGAAGATCTAATCAGTTTGAATGTAGTGGGCTGAACTTTGCTGCAATGACGTATTAAATACATTTAGCAAATAAGCCTTAACAAAGCCAAAGGGCGATTTACACTGCACAATTTTTTCCTAAAACTGTCGCATGCCTATGCTATAGGCTACGTTGTCGAATAGGCGAGTTGACGGAGTTGTGTGCTTGATTTACACAGTGCAACTCAAGTTGTAAGCAAGTTGCTTGCAACAGTATTAAGCAAAAGTTGTGTAGACTGTAGTGTCAATCGGCGTTTAAAGTATAGAGTCAGAGCCATAGAGTGTAGTGTTTCAATTTAATGTTTTATGGAGTTATATAGCATCAGAATTTTAACAATTTGGAGCGGACAAGGTCGCGAGTTATTTTGTTAACCTGTTGTCATGCAAGGATACTTTAACTCCCTGTTTTCCGCACATGCCATCTGGGCGAAAATCTGCAATTTAAATCGAGGCGAACAAAATCATGTATTATAGTTTATACGGTAATATGTTCTACGAACAGCAAGATGCACAATTGTGCATAGTTAGACCTAGTAGTTATTTTGGTTTATAATAGAAAAAACGAGGCAAAAGTAATTTAATACTAAATAAGAGTCCATCGTTCTTTTTAAAACGTACGTCACAGTTTTAAGATGTCCTTAAATTAATAAAACACCACTTAATTTCTGTGACGATATACGATTGCAAACGAGCTATTGTGAAACACGCCTTTCCAAAAATAATTCTCAGCAGACATAGCTGAAGCACCAATAATTTTCTTTGTTCTGAATTAAAGTATCAAAATTCATGGCATATTTTTGAAGTTATTAATAATACAAGATGACGCATAATTGCTTCGCGTATTTATAGACGCAAGAAGTTCTTTCTCGATAGATGCACGAACAACCGAAATCTATATATAAATTCATATACATGCAGTGTTGGGTTGTGCAAGTTGATTGGATCGCGTCATAAATTCGATTGTTTTGCGTAAGACTGTAAGTGGAAAATTTACCTATTTCCGGCCAATACGTGATCTATTCTGAACATGCAACATTGTCAATGGTTCTAAAAAGCTAATATAACGAATTACCCAAAGTTGTTAGGATCAATTACTGAATTACGTATAAGATCAATTACGTACACAATTAAAGTTACAAACAAGTTGTAACAAGATTTAGTGTCAAGCTTGTTCCCAGTTGTTGTGACAAGTCTGTGTCAAGTTGTTATCACCTTGTTACAAGGTTGATGACGGTAACAGACTTGCTAAAATTTGTTCCAACAAGACTAATACAG